CATAATTGTTTTGTTGTTTTTGTTTACAATTTTGTTAGTAATAATTTACTGTATAAAAAATGTGTTATTCCTTTTTGGTATGTGAGTTATAATCTCTAAGAAGTAGTTCAAGAATTGTACATCCAGATGTAATTTGTTGCATTCCATGAGTTAGAGTAAAAAAGTGAGCATCCTTTCTTGTAGCAACACCATACATGAAGCCATTTTATGCTATATATTTTTGTTATAGGCACTATCTAAAAGAATTCACTAGAAAATTTTTTAAATGAAGTCAATTTAAAAAATGCTTGTAGAATATATTCATTGGCAATTCATGCCAGAATAATTTTCCATATAATGGTTGCATTAGTCAAATTTGTGTGAAATTACTATGATTGAAGATAATTTTAAATTATGCATTATTGTGCGGTTATGTTTTCTTATATCATTATATTATTTTCTATTCTTATTTTCCCTTCATCCTTGCACTAACTTTAAATTCTACTAAGTGATTTTCAAAAATTGAATGCATTACAATACATTAGTAGATAAAATTATTATATTACTTTCTATTACTTCTAATACTTCTCGCAGTTTTTTCACTTTCTTTTTAATAAGACATTTCAAATTTGTTAGTTACTACTTGGATACTTTTTTTCACAACATAGGTACCAATTCCTGCATATTACGCGGGCCTCTCCCCTAGTCCTCAGTTATAAAGATCTTGCAAAATGATAAAGAAAACTTGTTCAATGATTGATGATATACATGTTGCATTGCTAGATCTCGTATCGTTGACACATGTTTTGTTCTACACGAATCTAATAAAGTTATACTCTTTTCGTCCCAATTATTTTCTCATATTTTGGAAATTCAACTTTTTAAAAGTAGTGGTTTGATTGTGATGTTTGTGCTTCTCTTTTCAATCTTACCCTCACAAATTTAAATTTTGAATTTGAATAGTAACATGCATATGATTATAAGAGAGGGACTATATTGAAAGAAGAGATTAAAAAATACTTTGACTTTGTCAACATGACAAACATTTTGGAACATTCTAAAATGAAAAATATGACACTTTCAATGAGACGTAAGGAATACATATTTTGGTACATTATGCTAATGATAGTAATTTTTTTGATTATTTGTGTAACTAGTCTCTTAATTTAGTTAAGCAATGAGTATTAGACAATTTTCTATAACAGTTAAGAATCAACAAGAGTTTGAAAGTAAATTAGAAACCTTACGATAACTTAAATAATGTCATTACCAACTAAGGCACTTAAGTGCCTTGAGGGTAGGGGGGTCAAAGGTTTGACACCTACTTTCATAATTATCACTTATGTGGTTTCTTTAAGATCTAGATTTAGTAGTACATACGCACTTTTGGTACGAAAATGATTTAGTTCCCTCTAAACTTTAGTTGGATTTGCCCAGTTCCCCTTCCTCTTCCCCATAGGTGAGTCAGTTGTAAAAAGTAGTGTTCATTGACCAGGGGGAAAAAAAGAGCAACGTAAACACTAGCTCAGCTTGAAAAAATAAAAATAAAAAAACTCTTTATGTTATTGTGGCAGCCTTGAAATAAAATTAATCTATCCATGATTAAGAGCCCATTAAAGACTATGATCGAACCTTTCTAATAGCTAGTTTGTGAGTTTAGGACAGAAAGAAAAGGATGAGAAAACTTAATTATGAGAGAAAAGAAGAGAAGAGAAATAATTCTAATGTTGTTTGGGAGTTTTGGAAAGAAATGAAATGATTTGGACATCGAAGTCAATACAAATTCATGCCATAGCTTTTTAAGGACAAGATGGGTATTTAAAAAGTATTAGTAGGCTTTCAAGAGATTTCTCTCGCTTTCTGCCCGAATCTGGCTGGAAAAGTTTTTTAAATTGTAGCGCAAATTTTATCCTTCTAAATCCGTTCCCTTCCTTTCTTTTTCTATCTCATGAAAATCTCCAAAACACATGATAAGTCAACTTTTCCTTCATTTCTTATCTTTTCTGTTCAAATCTTTCCATCCAAACTAGCCATAAGGGTGGCCATGGGGCGGGGGTTGTCAAATAACTCCCCTTGTTCCCTGCCCCTATCTCCTACCTCGTTTCGCGAGGGAAGGAATTAACTTACCATATTTAACAATCTGTTCATTTATGGGACAATTTTATCATTCATTCTATCTTAAAATATTCAATAAAGACATGCTCATGTACTCAACTTTAATCCATTCAAACGAGTTGCAAAATACTAATAACTAAAGAAAAAATACAACCTGTCAATACCATGAAAATGACATTAAAACATCCGATTGAGATGTAATAGGATCAAGTCACAATTGTATATTCACTTACAATAATACAATTGTAAACAACACTAAATAAGATTAACAAACTGTCAATATGGAAACAAAACACAATAAGTCAAGTAACTCGAGTTACATTCCAGTATTCAACAAACTCAGTCAAGTTGATTTCTCATATTCAATAAACTAAAGACAACTTTTCTCTTCATCAGCCTAACTTAAGAATTGGATTATAACTAAATTATTATATTGTATATATATGTATTATATATACATCTATAAATTTAAATATATATATAAATTTTTTTGTATGCGGGGAATCGGACGGGTGTATGTTACCCCTCCTCCCCGATTTTAAGGCAGGGAGAAATTTTCTCCCCCACCCGCCCCATTTCTACCCTCCCAAGACGGATGCCAGTGGGTACCCATCCCCGTTGCCACCCTTAAACCTTCCTCATCAACCAAATTCTATTATTAGGAGTGTTCACGATCCCGATCCATAAAAATTGGGTGACTCATTTTGTGATCCGTATTTGGATTCGCAAATGCACAGATCTGGATTATGCAGATTGGATCAATTGGATACCCGATTCGTATCTAAATTTTAAAATTAAAAAACTTATAAATCCCACAAATAAAATAAAATTTAAATGTATTAGAGTTTCAAAATATCATGTAAGTGATTTGCTGCACTTAAATATGAGTTTTTAGTCAAAATTAATCAATATTTTTTTGTTGCAATATAGAATAACTTTATATGTTTTTCTTATTTTGATTCAAGCAAATAATATTCGATATTTCATTTACAATTCTTTTATCCACAAATTATATGACAATATGTTTAAAAACTTAACACCATATGCAAAGAAAGTCTATCTAGAAAGAGGACATAAATATAAAAATAAGAAATAATAGATAAAACTACTATGAATTAGTGGATTTTATGCATAAAAAATAAAAAATACTATGCGAATTAGATTGGATATCCGCGAGTCATAAAAAATGATATTTGAATCTGATTTGTATAACTTCTTGACCGGATGTGATCCGATCAACATATAATTTGATGGATTAGATATCCACTAATTCAAGTTGAATCCTATTCAGATGACTTGATCAAGATGCATATCCTTGCCTATTATGTGAGTGTGTTTGTATAGTAAATTATTTGCAATAATTTTTTTGCAAAAATATACTGTAGCACTTTTGGAAAAAGTGCTTGAAGTTTCAGGTCCCAACATCTCTTTCCTTCTTTTTCCTTTTACCTTTTTTCCTTGACTTTTTTTTTTTTTTTTTTTTGTGTGGGTAAAACCTTCTTCCCTAATGGCTAAGGCTTCGTTTGGGAGTTGAGGATTTGGATAGAAAAGAAAGGAAAATAAGAGAAAGTTTAGTTTTCCTTTATTTGTTACTTTTTAGTAAAAAAGAAAAGAAATGAAATGAGAGAATCCAGAGAGATGAGCGGTATGCAAAACATTTCCTCCCAAATTGGATAGAAATGAAAAGAAATTTTGAGGAAACTTGTCAAATTTTTTTAAAAAACTTATTTTGTCCTTAAAAAGGTTTTGAACAAATATTTAATGACTTTTATATCCAAAATCATTTCATTAATTTTCAAAACTCCCAAATAACATAACAATCTCCTCTTCTCTTCTCTCCTCACGTACCTTTAGTTTTCCTTCTTTTCTTTTCTATCCTAAACTCTCGAACTAAGGTTCCGTTTGATAACACTAAATCTGAATTCTGAATTCTGAATACTGAAATAATTAATTTGCTGAAATTTAAGTACTGAAAAGAGATATATGAATGTCTGAATCTTAATGCTGAATCTATTTATACTGTTTGATAAATATTCATAATTTAATACTTAATAAGTTAGATGGTACAATTTTGCCCTTCTATCTTTTAATCCAAAAAGGAAATAAAACCTATGATTTAATTAACTTAAAATTGTTAGGTATGAAAATGACAATGATTGTGAAGAGCAATGCATACAATGACAATGTTTCTTTGTGTGGGAAAAGGGTATGGTTTCATTGTTTTGAGAATGGGAAAACGAGTTTTTAATAGTCTAAAAGCACGTTCAATTACATTTCTCAATCTTGCATGTGTTTGGTTAAAGCGTTCTTCTTTTGATCTTGGACGAGAAGCATTTCGAAAATCAGACAACCAATATCTTATATTTCGATATGGTGTCATAAAGCCACGTGTGTGTGGATAAGCTGCATCACATAAATAATATTTATCTGTACAAAAAAATATATATAAAAAGATAAATGTTTGTGGATGAAAATTACTGCAAAAAAAATACTATTGTTAAAAACAATTTTTGAATAGAAAATATCAGGTTGTTTTGTTTAATTAGATAAGGATTTTGAATAAGGAATATTAAGTTGTTTAATTAGATAAGGATTTTGAATGTAATTAACAAATAGGGATATATTTAGTAGATAAGATAAAGTAGTTGAAGTAAATCTCTTGATTCTTATCAAATTAAGCATTCAGCTACGATTCTTGTGCTGAAAAAAATACATACAAATTCAGCACCACTTAATAAGTTCAGCAGGTGAATTTTTATTTATCAAACACCCACAACATCTGAATGTCTGAATGAATTAGTTTCAGCACTTTTTTATGTTATCAAAGAGGCACTAGGCCTAAAACAAACAAAACAGAAAAACTGGTATCAAAAACATTTATAAACTTTAAAAAATAAAATAAAATTCCGGAAGTACCCTGGCGAACTCTCTCTGACCTCGCGCCATTCTTCTCGGGCAAAAGGGAAACATCGCAAATCCGTGGCAAAACCCTCCCCGTCAGGCCATCACTCACACCTCAGGTTATTCGGACAATGCATAAATCAATTTATGGCCGTTCGATTTTAATATAATTGTTTTTACTGATATATTGATATTCCGTTTTCAGATAATTTATAGTTTTACTTGCTTAACTTCAAAATTGGATTGTTTTCGCTGATTTAAGTAGCGCAGATTGTTTAAACATGTTTAGATTTGAGAGTTTGTATCGTTTTTGGTTAGCTCCGTCTCCAAGAAATATTTTTTTTATTTGAATTTGGACTAGCAGAAGCGGTTTATGTATACGCATACTCTATTTGATGAATTTTATTTCGATTAGAAGGTTGAGTTTTCAGTTTGCCAATGTTTAATTAGTTGAAATGGCACCAAGCAACTGGAGTATTTTTCCAGCCCTGAAAAACTGTGAATGGTTTGATAAATCAAAGTTGTTGTTGAATTGGTAGAGATGAGGATAGCAGTGGAAGGGTGTATGCATGGGGAATTGGACAATGTTTACGCAACCCTATTACATTTGCAAGAAGTGGAGAAAGTAAAGATTGATCTACTCCTTTGTTGTGGTGACTTTCAGGTAAGGGTTATTTACTCCTTTTTTTTTTTTCGGTCACGCTGTTATGCTTGTTTGAGTGAGTTTTGAGTTCAAAGCTATGTTCTTATTTTGTTGTCGTGTTCATGGGTGCCGTGTATTTTTTTTTTGGTCTTGCAATCTGCATGTTGTTTTGGTATTATAATATTTATTGGATTAGTTGCTAAATAAATTTTGGGAAATGTAATGTTCACAAGGAATAAATTAAGAAGAACAACAGTAGATAAACTAACTTATTGATCATCCTATGTTGATCTGTTATACATAAGTAAATGAAGCATAGATCATTATTCCTGTAGCTTAAGGGGTTAAGATGAGAGTCCATTCAGTAAGATTTAATTGTCATCCGAATCTTTTTCTTGGCTTGTTTGAAACAACCAATATGAAGCCATTGATAACTATGCAGGGTGTTATCTAGGTATATGTAATTCCCTTTTTGTAGTATCTTTTAATTCCACAGAAAAGTAGGAGAGAAGAAGTGTTTCTGGTGCAGCAATTAAAAGACTTGAAGGTAGTTCTCCATAATCTCTCCGTTGCTAGCATGGTAGGGTGGTATTAATTTCCTACAGAATGGAAATAAGAGCATGGATAGCACCAAACTGGATTCATTGTACCTGGCTGTAAGGCTAATACAAAAACTTTTAAACTGTAGTATGGCCTTTCAGGAGCTTTAGATGAACTGAGCAACTGTATGTCGCAAGATTGACCAGAATGGAGTCTGCTCAAGCCTATTTATTAAGATTTGAAGCACTAATGGGAAGTTACAACTGAAGAGACAGCCTAGCAAACTTGGAGTTTACCCAGAAACTTGTGGTTAGATCACAGTGACTTGGATAGCTTTGCTTTCCCAAGAAAGTAAAATCCTGAGGGAAAATAAGAAGTATGAGGATGAAGAAATTTGGCAAGAAGTATCTTTGTAATTTAAAGCTCAAGCGAGCAGCTCAGAGCTCTCTATCTTGCAATGAATTTACGTTTTTAAGTTCCCACTCTAGGGCAGCCTCTGAGATTGAAATCAGAATTAATACAACTATACTTATTTTGGCTGGAGATATAGGGTAAAATTGTACAGTTATTTCTGTCCATTTAATTCCATTAATCAAGATAACATGGTTGGTTGCAACAGAATTTATTATGTATCTGAGATGAATAGTTATGTTTTGTGGATGTTGTGGCTTGTGCTTGTTTTTGTTCTTTCCTTGGTCTCCCTTCAATTTTGATATGAAGTCTCTCTCTCTCTCTCCCTGCCCTCTCTCTCCTTGTTGCAAAACTTCTATGGAGCTTATGCATCAGATATTCTGTTCTTCATCTCCAATTCCTTCTATTTATGTAATGAATACATTTAATATTTTATTCTAATGAGCAGGCTGTTAGGAATGAAAAGGATCTGGACAGCTTAAACTGCCCTCAACATTACAAGAGCATGAAGTCTTTCTGGAAGTACTATAGTGGGGAAAAAGTTGCACCATTTCCCACTATATTTATTGGGGGTAACCATGAAGCATCCAACTATTTATGGGAATTGTAAGTTAGCTAATTCCTTTTCAAGTTTATCATCAGTGGATGTTCTACATTTTCAATGCTGCTTTTGTGGCCATGTTATGTGTCTGAACTAGGATTTCTTCTTTTTTCTTTTTGATGATGAGTACTCAGTGCGTACATGTTGAAAAGGAACCTTTATTGATCTTATGCCTGTTCAAGGGTTGATGAATGAAGTTCAATGTCCATAGAGTTCTTTTTCAGTATATAGGTCAACTAAATGCCCTCTCACCCCAAGCTTTTCTCAACACGATTGGTAATACTAAGAGTCGCTTTTTCTCTTGGTATAAGTTTGTCTTCTGTCTAGGGTTCCTTTTGGATCTACACTATATAGTGATTTTTGTTACTGAGCTTGTCTCTGTCAGTGTTATTGAGCTCGTCTCTGTTAATACACGACCATAAGCCTGATTTAGTCCAGTAATAGGTTGCTTCCCTTATCGAGAACTTATAACTTTGGGATCCTTTTTTTCTCATTAAAAAGCTACTTTAGACTTTTGTTACTTATGTCCAATTTGTTGATTTACTTGACTCTCTGGTTGCATACACGCTTGTATTTCCTCTGATAACTTGATCTGCTTGATAACCAGGAAACTTTTTTTCAATTTAACTTTCTTCATCATTGATAGAAATCTTGTATGTTTTATTGATGTTATGCTTCCTTAGTTCTTGATTGTTTCTGTACCCCCCGGCTGCCATTGGTTGCATAATGTGTATTGTGGTTGTAGAAAAATAGTTTGGTTATTAATTAAGTGCTTAAGTTCGAATGGAAAATAAAATGCATGTATTGCAACTGCAAGTGTGATGCAATTTATTCCTGCTAATCATTTGTTTGAGAACAATTACAATGACTAACTAATAAGGATATTTTCTCTGTTTCATTAGATACTATGGAGGATGGGTGGCACCAAATATATACTTCCTCGGGTTTGCAGGAGTGATCAAGTTTGGAAATATTCGTATCGGTGGACTGTCTGGAATTTATAAAGAGTATGATTATCATAAAGGTACTCTTCTATGGCATGCACTTATTGCCTCGTATGTAGTCCTCTATGATATTTATGCGCATGGGGAATTAGAGCTTGGGTTGGAATTACTCACTTTATGTCCATAGTGAGTTGAAAGTGTAGTCACTGGGCATATTTTAATTTTCAAAATAGCCTTCTAGTAAAAGGAAATCTTTAGTGATCTCAATATGCTTATGCTATCTGGTTATTGACATGTTAAGGTAATAACATATATGTGATGTGTTAACTAACTGTTGACATATTAATCAGAAATGAACATGTAAATCTTGAAATGTATCAACTCTGCTTTGAAGATTGATAGAAGTTCCTGAGCGGATTTTTTTATTTTAGCTGTTGCAAATGGTATTGTTAAAGCAATATTTACAGAATAACATTTTGCATGAGCAGGGCACTTTGAAAAGCTTCCCTACGATAAGAAAGATGTTCGGACTGTTTATCACATCCGTGAGTATGATGTTCACAAGCTCATGCAAGTTGAGGAACCAATTGATATCTTCCTTTCACATGACTGGCCACTTGGCATTACTAACCATGGGAACTTGAAAGATCTTCTTCGGGACAAACCCTATTTTGAGGAAGAGGTAGTCACTCAAGTTGGCAGTTTGAAAGTATTATGTGATTCAACATCTCATGTTATTTCCACATAGTTAGTGTCGTTGGTTTATCTTTTCTGTTATCTTTGTTACTTTGGTAAGAATACCCATACTTGCTTCTTCTGATTTACACATGTAAGTTTATGCACGAGGATATTAGGCTTTGATGATATTTCTCTTGCTTATTATCATCTATCTGTATATAATCATTAGCAACTTTTGGGTGGATGAGTTCTTAAACCATTCTCATTGAAACTTGTATGTGTCTATTTTGTATGGCATTATTTTTCTCCATACTTACAGAAATTTTTTGTAGATCAGAAAAGGGATTTTGGGTAATAAACCATCTGCGGAATTGTTGGATGGATTGAGACCCAGTTACTGGTTTGCGGGACACTTGCACTGCAAATTTGCTGCACTAGTTCAACATGGGGAGGATGGCCTTATCACAAAGTTTCTTGCGCTTGACAAGTGTGTTCCAGGAAGAAAGTTTTTGCAGGTATTTACTGGCAGTATTGCTTGTTTACTAGAGAGGCTTTTACTTTTATAATTTGAAATTCATTGGGGCTTTTTAGATTGTTGAAGTTGAATCAGGACCAGGACCGTATGAGCTGCATTATGATGAAGAGTGGCTGGCAATCACAAAGAAGTTTAACTGTGTTCTCCCTTTAACAGTTCAGCGTGCAAATCTTAGGTGTGTGTATTTCATCCATGCGCATTTGTTGACATTCTTTTTCTGTACGTTTCTGCTAATTGCATCTTTTGGTTATAGTGGTGCAACACTTGACATGCAAGAATGCCGTCAGTTTGTGAGAGACAAATTGCAGGCAAGAGGGGCCAAACCTTTTGATTTTGTGAAGACAGTTCCATGTCATGATCCTTCGGCTTTGGTTGCTAATAGCTCCTTTTCTGGTGATGACCTGCAAAATGCCTGCATTTTTCTTCAAACCTTTTTGCTTAAACATCGCATGACTCCATAGTAAATGCTTCTAGTTTCAGTTGGTGACTGTGATCTAAAATATACTTCTCTGCCAATGAATCTGTTAGGATGAACTTTGTGATCGTTTTGTTAGTTAAGACTAGTTTTTGGTGAGAGTAAAATTTTGCATTAAAGATCTCTTGCAATATTTGCCTTGGGTGTTATACTGCATGGTTATTAGCCAGCTGATGATATCTCTATTGCCCTCTTTCTTGTAGGACATTGTAGGAATCCTCAAACTGTAGGTTTCTTTCAGTTTTTAGAGCTTGAATATCTTCTTGATGACAAGTCAAGGCAGGTAGCAGTTAGTCCAGCTTCATTTACTTCTAAAGGTACAGTATTGAATTCTTTGCCCAATTTTCATGTTATATGTGTCCCCATGATTTTCTAATACTGATAAGCGTCATATGTTATTGTGCTATCATAGTTGTTGAACTGTCACCATGAAATATATGCTGCCACCTACCATATACTAAACCTTGGTCAGCTCTGAAAAACAAGATAACTGACAGTTTGGAAGCATAAGGAACAAACTGGAAGAAGTTGTGGCTTTTAAGTTGCGATAGAACGTCTAACAGATCTTTGCAGACATTCAGGTTCAGCAGCAGTCAAAGGACATTCTGTAATTTCTCCAACCTTAAGTTGAACTAAGTGGCAGACAAGTTCCTTGACGTGAATCAGTGATTGTTTCTAGGAAATGGCTTCAGTGTTGATTTAATCCAATATTTGAAAATTCTGCACTTATGGAAAATTTTCAATGTGAAAGCAATTTTTGTACAATTTTAGGTGTATTTTTTCTGTTAATAAAATTAAAGAACCATGAAAGGGGGGAAAAGTTAGGATTCTTCTGAAGTCCTCTAAATGCTCTGTGTCCTTGCTTCTGAGGCATCCAGCCATTGGGGTCAAGTGATGACCTAAAGACGTCATCTTTATCTTGGCCATCCCAGTTGGAAGGTCTTTTCTGTTGATGTTTAGATCCACGAGAAGATGCTTACTTTGTTCTATTTGAGGAAGGAGATGAATATACTTCGGTGATCCTTTGTCCATAAGAGGTTCTATATTGATGTTATTGAGTAATTTAGAAATATGAAGAACCAGTATGTCTTGTAGTGTGCAACTGGAAGTTTTGTCTACAGCTATCTATCCTGGCATATTTTCTACAGTATGTCTTGTAGTGTGCAAATGGGAAGTTTTGTCCACAGCTATCTAACCTGGCGTATTTTCCATGTTCTTTTGTTGTTTTAGCTTCACAGTTGAAATCATCTTTCCACTTTTTGTGGTGCATCCTGATCCTTAACAAGTTTCAATTAATAGTTGCAGGCTCCTTTGATTGTGTTAGTGAAGACATTCCCATTGATGATGTGAATGATGAGGAAGAACTCAAAGCAGATGAGATGTAAATGTAGAAGGGATACTTCCTGTTACTCTCGGTAATTACTTTCTCCTATTTGAACTAAATTATAGAGTTATCTTTAATTGTTTTTACAATGCAGAATGATGATACTTGTTAAAACTCTTTCATAAGAAAGGATTGGGGTGAGATGTCTGGATTGTCTATATTACCTACATTGCTTCATTTAGTTAATGATCTTTGACATTGCCAGGCTAATTGGGTTCATTATTCTGGAGAACAACACGAGAGGATTCAGCTATGTTTCCAAGGATTACTGTCTTTTCCACCTTGAATAGTTTGGTTAGTGATAACTTAGGATAATTTGGTTCGTTATGCTGGAGAGCAGCATGAACAGAGGCACTGTGTGGGATTTGTTCAGGATCCATAGAAGTATCATCCTTCAGGCTCAATAGAAGTATCATCCTTCAGGCTCAAGACTTTACTTTTGCCAAAAGTAGGCTATAAATGCAGGCACTATATGGCTGATGATAGGATAAATTTCTTGTTGATATGTACTCGAACTCAGATCCCTATAGCTGATGATAGGATAAATTTCTTCTTGAATATGTACTAGAAGTCAGACCCTTACGCCTTAATATCGGGATGCCTGTAACAATTTCTTTATTCCGACATGATGCCAAGCCTTAAGAGTGTTGTTACTTGATGATTGTTTTGCCTTGAGAAGTGTCATTTGGTTCCTCATTGCCGAGTATTCTATTTATTCGTGCTGGATTTTGTGAATCCATCTTAGTTTTGAGCTTGTACTAGCTTGGACAAAAAGAAATGCATTCGTATTTCATTTTTGGTGGTAAATGTGGCTTCCTATGTTAGGGAAGACAAGTTTTAATCAAGATATTTTTAGGCAACTGATGATATTCTGCAAGTCTGGGTATGCTGGCTTTGCTTATAGAATCTATTAGTTGCCAAAAGGTGTTAAAATTGGTCTGATATTGCTTACAACTGTTTTTGTGGCTCGATAGAAGTATCATCCTTCAGGCTCAAGATTTTACTTTTGAAGATAATAGGCAAAAATGGAGGCAGTATAGCTGATACACAATACATCAAATTTCTTGTGGAACACGTACTTAGAACTCAGATCCTTACACCTACTATCCTCCGGGAATGCGGATACAAATTTTTATTTGACATGATGCCACGCCTTGATCAGTGTTTTGGTGCTGGATGATTATTGTGCCTCCTTGAGAAGTGTCATTAGTTTTGTTCATCATTTCCGAGCATTCAATGTATATGCATGTTGGTTTTTGTGAATCCATCTTAGTTTTGAGGTTGCACTGTCTTGGACAAGAATTGAAAGGCAATCATATTTCAATTTTGGTGGTAAATGTGGCTTTCTATGTCAGGGAAGACGAATTATAACCAAGATATTTTATGAAACCGGTGAGATTCTGCCAAGTTTAAGTTTGGGTATATGCTGTCGTCGCTTGTAGAAGCTGGAAGAGTAATAATATCTTCTGTTTGTTTCATTCGAGTATACAATTAATCTGCATTTGCTTGTTTGAGTTGGTTTTTACATGTTTCACTCAATTTCCACATATTGTTCGATTATAGTGGTCATATGCGTGTCCACAATAGTTGCATATATTGCACGCCGAGTAGGGGTAAACATCTGGTGCATGTACTGTTGCCCAGTCGTGGATGGATAGGTGTTCTTCTTGTCCTCTTCTGGTTGTTGCATGAACACTTGAGAGCCACTCCAGTCCAGCCTGCGAATTTTTTTTGGGTTTGCTTAGAAGCTTATGCTTTGATTTTGTTTTTAGGGGCGTGGCCATTGGTCGCCTGATAATGGCATTACGACCAAATCCCTGAGTTGTCAAAATTGGTCTACTGTTAGCTCATGAATGAATTTCTGAATCCATTTTTTGACTCTCGTCCTCCTGTAGTTAGTGGTCATCAACAACTTGTCATCTTCGAAGCAGTGTGCAATTTCGGTTGTCGACGTTGACCCTTGCAAAAGTGTAAACCCCACAATAAAAGGCAAATATGGGTCGGGAAGCATAGTATCTTTCCTCAAAATTGTTGATTGGAAAAAAAAAAAAACTTTCTGGTGTGGCTGTGGCTTTTTGGATTTGGACTCCTTTTTTGCCTCTTCGTTTTTGTCTCTTGTTCCCTGTTCTGTCCATTTTCCAATTAAGTATGCTCCAAATTCAGTTGAAGATAACCGACTAATTCATACGGTCAAAACCACGGCATTTGGAGCCAATGAGTCAAACACTTGCTTAGTATGAAATCATGGAGATGTCCAACCAACCAAAGCTTTTGACATGGTAGCTTTCCGGTCCAAGCAAAGCAACGTATTATTAAGCATAACCAATTTCGACTTTCGAGTTAAGCCTCCACGTGTTTTGCAATTACCCAATCAGCACCGAGATAGCAGATGCTTCCAATCAAAGTAAACTGGAATACACAGAGTTTGTGTAAGCGTGTGTTTCAGTGGTTTCTCTTTTTCTCGGCTTTCGCCTAAAGTCGTGGCTAAGCTTCGTTCATCACCATTTCTTGTCGTAGTTTTTTTTTTTGTCTTTTCACTTGTTTTTCCTTAGCTTAAAATAAGTACGCATTGTTGGCAACTGGAAATGTGGGCCAAATCGAGTTTCGTAAGACATACCAATTATGGGTCGGTTTGGTTTATTGGAAAAAAGAAATAGGGACGCAGAAGTTTCTGCTATATTTTGGTTCATTATTGATTTCTCACTTTTTACGTGTCTGCATTTGATGGAAAGAGGGGGGCTCGTCCCATTGATTGATAGAAGAACAGACAACGATGAGTTTCTTTAACACAAATATATAGCTCATCAGCCGGGGAGGTTGAAAATCAATGGCATGGATTCTGCTACGGTGGCATTACTTGAAAAAAAAAAAAACAAAAAGGAACAAAGAAAGATGGCAATGGAGAACCAAAAAAAAAAAAAAGAAGAAGAAGACAAGAATAGCAATGTAATTTTGTCAAACTCCTCAAGCCCAAAAGCAAATGCCTGCTGCCCCCTACAAAAGAAATCCATTGTTACTAGAGGTGGTGCCCGAGTCCAACTACTCTGCTCTGCAAGTATGCATATAATTATGCACATTTGGTGATGAAAAGTCATGGGTGGAGTGCCCTTTCGCCCTCTCATTGCATGTATCTCTAGCTATTATGGTCCACATCCCACCATGTGATAGGATTTAGGGGCAACACTTTTTCTTCCTTCCTCTGGAAAACAGTACTGCACTCATGCTACTTCTACAGTATTGAGTAACAGCATTAATCGTAGTACCACACGATTGGTATCTTTGAATGGGGCTGCAAGGATTGATCTCATTTTGAATCGGATAATTCTTATCTTCTTCTGATCACTACTCATCGACTACTAGCATGGCATGCTAGCAGGTCAAGACGCATCTGTTGCTATGGTAAAAGCCGTATCCATTATCACAATCTCCCTTAACCAAATATCACTGTATTGACCATTACCACTCCATCTCTTGATGTCATCCCACCAATCACAATCCAATAGCCCCATTACTCCCGCATTGTTATGGTATTATGCAGACGTTGTTTTCTCTATTTTGTGTATCTAATGTTAGCTCTATTCTTAGGTGTTGGGGATTGTGAATTTGTGAGTTGAACTCTTCCATTATCGGCGAAACCAGTTACATCTGTCACTCAATTTCCATCACGGTTCCTTTGTCCCAATTTCTATTACATACATTTACATTCGTTATCCCACCTTCTATCATATGATCACGGGTAAATTACATATTATCTCCTCGTGGTTTTTAATATTGCGACATTACTCTCATAACATTTTAAAATATTCACTTCACCCCAATGATTTTATGTAAAGTGAAAATTTAACGAAAAAAAAACTTATGTAACATCGTAACCATAGTATCCTTACTTAAATGGTAAATCAATCGACAACTTGTATAAAAGCACGAGGGATGGATAAATGCAAAAATTACAGAGGGGTAAAGTGAATATTTTTACATACCACAATGTGGTTACATGGAAAATAAGATTTTATCACATACGCGCATTTGGTACGAACGCTCTAACTGATTGTTTGTGCATTACGTCCATTCTTCACTTTACACAAAATCATAGGGGGTTTTGTAGCTATTCAGAAACCTTAGAGAGAGATCATGTGACATTATGTAACAATCACAGGCGGATTATAAGTAATTTACCCTATTATCACTGTATGTTTAGAAACTAATAATCTCCTTTTACCTCCTAAAGACTAAAAAGGTAAAAAGAGCCACTCTACGTCTCTTAGTGCTAGCCACTACATACATGCATGAAACTTAAGCCCTAGAAATAGGTGATGCATGAATCTGATACACACATCGGCAGCAGGTATCTGCTCAGCCATGAAATGCCATAGGTTCGACCAATAATTCTAGCACCGCAGAGATTGGGCTTTTGGGGACTTGCTAGGTAGTAAGCAATGATCCATGTGGGTCCATGACCAGGAGAGCCTCCAAATTCCACACCTTGTAGGCTTTTTAGCCTTACAATGAAAAAGCAAGGCTTTCGGCAATTGGGGGAGGGCATGAAGCATCATCTGATCTTGAGACAAGTTTCATTCCCTAGGTGCAAGATGGTCACAACACCTGTTACAGTAAAAACATTTTAGTATCACATAAGTTGTGGGTATGGAGCTGCTTTCTTCCACCGTTCAAAATTTCATGCATTCTTTGCTATTTTTCTTTTATCTCCATTGGCTGCAACAGGAAAAGGATGATATGAGTGGCACTTTGCCCATCATTTCAAGAAGAGACCTTGATTGTGATAACACATCAATGTAGAAATAAGCATAAATACTCAGTTGCAATATGAGGTATGGTTCAAGCAACTCTTCCTCAAAACAATTTGATTAATAAAAGTTCCAAGGGAACTTGTTCAAAGAGGTTCTCTATCATCCCCTCCCTTTGTTGTTTCTATACTTTGTGTTCCCCTTGTGTGGATTTTGTGCATAACCCTACCACTCCCAAGTCCCACCAACAAAAGGGGTTGGCTATTTTTTTTTTCTTCTGATTAATTGATTCTTTAATTTTGTTTTTTTTTTTAAATTTTTTTTTTTGGGATGTGGAAACATAAAATGATGCTATTGGTGGACTACTAAGTTAAGAAAGAAGGCAATTTAATTTATGGTTTGTGCGTGTCACGTAATCGACCGGCACTAGTGGAATTAGAATAGAATTTGTTGTGCAGGGAGGACACGTGGCCTCTTATTATTCCATTCCAGGTTATAATGATGTGCTGGGCACTGATGATGCTGAATGATGATGGACATATCCATGTCGACTGCCATTTGAATTGCAGGAGATTATATTCCATCCTTTCTTTTTCTCCCCAGTCCCCCTCCCCCCACCCCACTCAAATGTCACATTGTATCTACTTTTTTTTTTTTTTTTTTTTTTTTTATAAGTAGAAGATTTTGAATTCAAAATCTTTATTTATAATACTATTATCTCATCGTCTATCTTAATTCTCTCCCCTAATATTAATATACTCGTTTGAATATATAATTTGATGTATTTATCTTTATATTATTCATTTATTTTTATGATTACTGTATGCATATGGGTACGTGCTTAAAGTAAGATAAGGAATGTATAAAGTTGTGAAACTAATGAATTTGGTATTAGTTACCTAAACTACTCCTGTCAACTTATGATTACTAAACTTAATCTCTGCTGAAGT